GGGCTTGTGGGTCCGCGGCGCCAGCCCCCTACAACCCCCCCCCCCCCCAATAATCATGGTTCTCCCGTAATGGGTGGAGACCTCAACCCCCCCCCAATGTTCCAGCCAAAGTTACGCCCTTATGTGAACTCAATAATATATAGCTTGCCATTTTGCCTCAATAAATGCTGTTGAAGATTATAATGAAGTATAATGTACATAAATACACACATGAAAGAATAATGTTTTATATGATAATGTTTTATATGTGTTTTTATGAAAGAAGCTGAATGGGAAGGGGCACCTAAGGTGTCCATTTAATGTGACATATCATGTTACCACGATCTGAAGAAATATTTAACTTTGAAATTCCCCAACAGTTCAAAGAAAAAAACGGATTGACTTATTGATCATCAGAGACCTACAATGAAATGGTCCATTGGATAGTGCTGTTTAGAGCCCGACCAATTCTTCATCTTTGTACACAAAAAAACACTAAAATATAGGTCATTAATACCGATCAGACTATCAGTCTGACAAAAATGTGGTTATACCATGGGAAAATTGCATTTTGCATGCTGCTACTTGCGCATCTGATCTCTGCACCTTCTAGGATTAGAGTCACTCATAATGCTGAGTTTGCCTTTGTTCTTTATCTTCCTTCGCTTCCATCAAATTCAAGCAGTGAAAATACTAGGTTTTATGAAATTAGATTGACCTGAAACTGTAAAAGAAAAACAAGTCTGCGAGAAACGCAGAGTGCCATCTAAGTTAGCTGCGTTAATCTGTGTTGCGTATTTCTAGATCACAAAAGTAAGGTTTTCTGGAGCAGGTCAAGCAGCTCAGAGGCTTCAGGACATGAGTTTGGGAATGTAACCTCTGGAAGTTTGAGTCCGTAGACATTATCTTGCATCAATGCCCTTGAAGTTTTTTATTGTCCAGCCAACAAAAAATTTTATCTTGTTGGGGGCACTTTATTACACATTTATCATCAGGAAAACTAGCAGGCAGAATAAGATGGTGCTTATGCTTCTAACCTTGTTTCGTATCAAGCGGGTGTGGCTAACAGTAGACAATGGGGGTGGCTCTTTTGTGTCTCATAGATATCACATCTTTTCTATATATATATCAGGGGCATCAAAGGCATTTTGAATGTGGGGGGACACACTGACATAAAACTAATATTTTATGTTAAATGTGGGGGGGTCCAAATGAATAATTATGAAATGTGAGGAGGACGTGTCCCCCTCAGATTTAATGGTGGCGACACCCATGGTATGTATGCGTGTGTATGTCCGATTTTAAGCCTTCTGGCAAACAACACTTAAAAGTAGGATAGCTTGTTTTATTGGCTGCCTGTTCTAAAACATACGTGTCAATACTTCTACATGTTCACTGGCTTTAATCTCTTATTAATGGCAGAATTTTACTGTGCTTTGCTGAGCAAGTTCCAAACTGAGAAACAAAATATTCCCTGTCAAGGGATTAGTAACAAAACACATAGTATGCATGTTAGAACTGTATATTTATAAATAAAATCAAAGTAACTGAAGTATACTAGTTCTTTGTTGTCAAACTATCACCAAATACTTTGCAGGGGAGACAATATCAACACTGATGAAGAGCCAAAAATCTCTTTTGTGTTCGTTTGTAAAGTCACACCACTATAGATAGACTTTCCATAGAAAATCAGTTAAATGAGATAAAATTCATATTTAACTCCAGGATAATATGCAGTAAGTATATTGAAACCTCTTATTTAGTAAAATCTTATATAAGTTTAACGTAATGCTGGCTTTGTGCCCATAGCCTCTGGGAAAGGCTCTGCTCCCCCCCCCCACACCCTGAATAGGACAAGCGGTTACAGAAAATGGATGGATGGATGGATGGATGGGTACAGCAACCATCTTTCAACCATCCTGGTTTAATTAGCTGAAGAGCACCAATATTTGCCACTGATCACAGGATGGGGAGATTGCTCCTCGTGCTCTTGTTCACAAGCTTGTTGCGAAAGCGCCATTAAAGATTCCGCAGCAGCTGCCAGCCCATTGCCTATATGGTCACATTTTGCAGTGGCAAGACAACAGATGACCGTGCCGAGGTTCCCCTGCCGTCCGCGTACACACGGGCTGAGCAGAGAATCTCCCTCCAAGCCGCCTCTCTCTCAGCGGGGACTCCGGTGATTGCAGCGTGCGCAAACCAGCACCGGCATTTACGCTCTTAATGTCTCCACAATCTGGCCCCAGCCATCCGTGTTATCGCTGCCGGAAGAGAGCAGGAGAGCTAGACGGCAGTGAGGGAAGGAGTATGTGTCCAAAGTGGCATTTGGGAATGGCAGAGGAATGAGGGATAGCTAGCAATTAGTATAATGAAAGCAGTGAAAGTACGGAAAGACACAGAAGAGATACATTAGCATATATGAAAGCATTTTAGTTATATTGTCGTATAGTTATATAGAATATTTTTAGCACAATCAATATGTGTCTTCAGATACAACAGAAATAAGAATGCATCTGGTGAAGCCTGTTTGTGCAGCTAAGCAAAAAATTACTCAAATCTGCAGCTTTCCAGTGCAATGTGTGAATTACGTTAAATTGCTAACAGTAATATTTTGAATCTGTGCTATTTCCCCCTGAAGCTGACTTTACTCTTTCTGTGTTCTTACCCTTGGGGCCGAAGGGGCCACACAGAGCCTGAAGCTGTTTGCCAGGTGTCCACGGCACAGACAGACAAGGCTGAGACTGAGGAGGACCAAGGGCGGACATCAGAGGAAGAGGATGGGGGGGCGGAGCGCAGTCATGACAGACAGGTGAATCAGAGAGGAAGTCAGGGGCTGCGAAAGAGAACAAAAGATTTGTGTCCAGTTTGTTGTCTGTGTTTCATTCGGCTATATTTGCCTGGATTCTTTCAAGATCAGTGTCATTGTCTTTCTAATGCGATTGTCTTGTTTGTATTGACTCAATAGACATTGATTGACTCCAGCTACAACATGATGTGGCTGTTGTCACAGTAGCAGTGTTGGTTCTGTCTTCACTTGGAAATAAAGGTGTAGGATTGCAAAACTCCTCTCTTTGCCAGTACAGTCCTCGAGTACAACATGTATCTGGCTGCTGGAGAGGCTGTTATGTGGGTATTGTCATCAAATGGCAAAGTTCACCCTGTGGTTACACAAACAGCCAATTTCTAACACAAAAAGAGAGCCCCACCCCAGTCCGCCCCCACCAAGAAATATCAAGCAGGCGAAGGTCATGTGACCTCTACTTCCTGGTTTTCTTTTTTTTTTTTTTCCACAAAATCATTCAAAGGCAGAAAATACTTGAGTCTATATCAGGAAGCCTTTAGAAAAAAAATGCATTTTGTTCACACGATTAAACATTAGAAGCAAATGTTTATTTGCTGTGTTTTGTTTATGACACAGTTGGGTGTGGTGTTTGGCCCACAAATATCAAAGAGTGACTCTTAGCTGCTGTACGGTATGTGCTCTGTGTTCTGTCGTTTTATACTATCATAATGTACTTGAACTTGAATTCTTATTTAAAAAATAGGTTGATTTTCATACATTGCTGGTTTTGACTCCCCTTAACTATTGACTCATGAATAAAAGCTCCCAGTGCTGTTAGTGGTGTATGTGGAATATATTTTAAAGCAGTCTGGCATGTAGTAAAAGAATAGAAACCATCATTACCCTCACACTACAATCATCACAGGTTTTCTTTGTGGCTTGGGGTCAACAGAGGTCTCGAATGATCCTGTGGAAGTGTTGTCTCCTCTCAGGTCCTTCTGGTACCAAGCACTCAGAGTGACAGAGGTCTAGCTCTACAGGTGCACCAGTCACCTTATCTGTAGTAGTTCTCATCCTTCCCCTCTCTATTTGACAGTGCATTGTGTGTCCGGATACGCAAGAATCCATGAGCTTTTCTCTCTTTTTTTGTTTGTTTTATGCTTCACAACTGAACTATGCCATTCTACCATCTTGTTTTTCCTCCATCAATTTTACAGCAGAGAATATTTTTGGCTCACTTTAATTTTAACTCACGATTTGTCAATGTCACACATCATTCCATTTTTGTTTTTTTTTCGTTTTTTTCCATTTCATTTTTTTCATCTTCATTTTTTTTGACCGGCCAAGTCGAAGACACATAGCAGGTACAAATGATGTTCGGCAAACAGGGTCGAGAAACAGGCGAGTGTTCAGAATCCAATAGAAGTCAATTACAAAGTAGGGCAAGTCATCAGCTCAGCAATGAGCAAGATCAATACCTCCCAAAGGTGTTACTCCACAGGAGTCTATATATAAACCTTTAGTTTAATCAGGGGATGTGCTACAGGTGTGTCTAGTATTCTGATGAGGTGGAACTTCGTCTGCTTGGACATGGATGTAAGGACTGCTAACTGGAGGCAGGTGTTACAGTAGATTTCATCTGCACTGTTTGTTGAACTGTCATCAACTGTACTGAACAGAACCTGAGCTTCAGTTCGGCGGAACTGGACCAATTACAGAATCTTTACCGGATTCTCTATAAAATTTGCTGTTAGAGAAATAAATTTGGCTAAAAGGAGATGAAAGATATCAAGGAACACCGGCAAAAATGTGATTTAGACTGAGACACGCAATCACTGTACGTTAGGAAAAACTGAGTTAGCGGGAAGTCTGATGTTAAGATATGCTGAAATGTTGAGTGTGACGATAAAGTGAGACACGTTGCAGTCTGCAGGGTCTTAGCATCTACCTTTCAAAAATGAAGAAATACAAATCTGAGAAATACGTTATGACAAGTGACCCTTTGGTTGTACTTTTGTCGTTTGTATCAATGAGAACTAAAACTCAGCCTCCCTGGGATATACTGACTCCTTCATCTTGACATGTTACATTGAGAGTTATTTTTAACTTAAGGTCATTAAAACATGGGTTTCGACGCTCTGCTCCCATTCATTCATACTTACTGACATTTTCTCTTGCAGGGTGATGGTAGATCAAGGGCGTTTTACATAGCCAAAGAGCTGGTGGATTCAGAAAAAGTGTAAGTAAACCCAGCATTTTCCATTTACACTTCATTCCCAGCCTGTGTATGTATTTTATATTGTGTCTTATACTACATTTTAGTGCGACATTCCGCTTTTGGAGCTTAAACAGCGTTTATCTGTCCTTCTTGTGCTATGAAGTCCAGCAGGGGCTGAAAACTACAACCAAATGACGTGTCGTAAATAAATCCTCCATAATAGATTACTGCATTGACACAAGTACAAATTTTCTTCCTAGTTCTTCAAATCAGCGCTCTCCATATAATTGTGTTTAATACATTTGTTATAAAAATAGCTCATTTATCTCATTGCTGAGTGTTTTTAAGACGATATTAGTCCATTAATTCAATATCTGTGTTCAGGATCTTGATCATTTATTAGAGACTTGACCATATATCTTTCTGGTTTTCTTAACAGACACGTGAATGGTCTGAAACTACTCCAGGAGGTAGGAATGTAGACACATTAATCTCCCACATACATGCCCTTCAACTAAATGTCGAGATATGGTGTGCAGGCAGTAGCGTTGAGTTGATTTATATCTATTCCAAGAGTATACATACCAATTGTAGTGCTAGTGACTGAAAACAATTGAGCTGTATGACCTTTTGAAAAAGTAATTTATTTCTAGTCATAAGATTTTTTTTCCCAGTGTAGCCTGGCACCTTTGATGCGTCGTTAGTGGACTGCTGATGGGGTTGTACTTATCAGTAGATGAGAACCATGATGCAAAAATTCCCAGAATTCCTCAGAATTCCTCCTTAAACATTTGTCTAATCTCCTTAACCACTACTTAGGTAGTTTGGCCAGGTTGTAACTGTTTATAATAACTGAGCTAGGAGACATGGTGCTATGGGCTTGTGTGCAATTCTGTGATGCGGGGTTCATTAGTGGACCATCACAGAATGGCGGTCTGGATAAAAAGGCACAGAAGTGCTTCTCTGCCCTCCCTGGGTAGCAGTTAAGAAAGAACAACACAATGCAAAGGGGTACCAAGCAAGCTAGCATTAATATAGTGTAACATGGGGCTGTACAACTGAAGACTGTTCTTATATTTGTTAGGCATCTTCCCTTTGATTCTTTAGGAGAATTTAATGTTGTCTGTTGTCATCAAGCTATTTTTGTCAAATAACAACCCAGAAATGTATTATCTTTAAAATAAATGTGTTTAACTAGTTGAAAAGAATTCTTGTAATATAATTATATATTCTTTGGAATTATCCGTCATTGTAATACTGTAAAATCTTATCTTCTTACCTGCTTGATTTTTTAATGATATGGTGAAATGTTTCACATCGATGGATAAGTGCAGGACAGTTTCATTAAGGCTTCTGCCTATCAGAGGGATTGTGTGTCCTTCATATCACCTTCACATGCTACTTTTGGTGTTAAACTGTTTCCTTTGTGGCTGTTTTTTTCTTGCATTACATACGGCCACATCTGGCAATGACTTGCCCTGCAAATACTGTATCCTAATCTCTCCCTTTATTGTGTAGGATTTCAGGGCTACCGTGGCTGCAGCCATGGGGGCAGATGAGGAGCCGGTCTTGCAGGAGGAAAAGCTCAGTGAGATTCTAGGCCCCCTGCCAGAGGTGTACCAGCTACACTGCCACATTCTCGCAGAGCTGGAGGACCACCTGAGACAGTGGTGAGACCCTGTGCATTTACGCGCTGATGCTAACATGACCACAGCTGGGACGCCGGCTTTGGTCAGCTAGCTGGAGTGAGATTTTCAATTTGAGACAAGACTGCACACGTATGCACATGCATTTACATGCATGTAACAATTGTATTACCTTGTAAATAGTCTGTAGGATTTGCAAATTTCCCCGATGCTTTTGATGTAGCTAATTTTAGGTTTATAATGGAATGATACAGATTTGCAGTAAGATTTCTTATGTAAACATGAGCGTCTGAAAACATGGGTGTCACACCAGATGCACGAGAGTTGGCAGCACTACTATATTCTCACTATGTAGACATGATCATGTGATTCAAAATGCCCCGATTCAATATTTCCCAATTTCGATTTCATCATCATATAATAAATGCCTATTTCTATAAAAAAAATTTGAAATGCCCTTTTACAGTACAGTATATACATGTCACTATATAGTATATATAATATTTTGGGGGGCACTAGCTGGGTGATTCCACTTCAGCCTGTCATTCTTTAAGGGAGGAGAGTCAGAGAATTGCGGATGTTTTCCTGTCTCGACGGGCAGAGTTTGCTATCTTCACACCCTACATCACTCAGTACGATCGCAGGGTGGCTCTTCTGGACGAGACCTGCCAAAGCTCTCCCACCTTCTCCTCCATTGTCAAGCAGTTTGAGGTGAGTCCTGGGCTCTGATGAGCCACTTGCCATTAGAACAATATCGTTCATTTGTATTGTGCTTTAGTATACTGTGCATGGTATGTATATTTGTGTAGTATCTTCAGTATATTGTGGTCTATACAGTATATGATGAACATTGAATTATTGCGGTTGTTGCTTTGTAGTGTTTACTGGGACTTGTGTCCCAGTTTTTTTTTTTATCTTAGATTACTTGGTTCGGTTGTTGAAGGTCAATAGACTGGGAGATATTTTGCAAAAATTGGCATGAACATTCCTCTGGTGACCGGAGTTGTTTCGTGTGCTATTATAACAGGGCAGCTTGCCCACTCAGCTGTTCACACTGTAGCCACAATCTTCCAGGGTTTTGAGTTTAATTCTTCACCCTGGATTGTATCTGTCCATTGAGTTTGCACAGGTATACTTTGGTTCCATCTTACATATTCTTAGGTGAACTGATGTTTATGTACTTCCCATAGTGTGTGGGGTACGTGAGTGTATACCCTGCACCGGGCTGGTGGCCCATCCACAGGGTCCCCTGCCTACACACCTCCAAGGTTGGTGGGTTGGTGTCTCTAAGTCACCCGGCGCGTGTGCCCTGCGACGGACTGGCATCCCATCCAGCATGGCATCTACCTCATGTTCTGACTCTTCACAACAAAATACAATTTAGACTATATATTGTGATATTTGAGATTCTGAATATTATGGAAAAAAGAACAAAGACAGTATTTCAGCATTCTATAAACTTCAGGACCATCTCTGCAACTTTTTTATTCCAACCCTGTTTTTAGAGTTTAGTTTTTGTCATCTATTAAATTGAAAATTACAAATGCATTGGTGCTGTTTTTGTAAAGCGTTCTTCTTCTTTCCCCACTTCTGTTCTGTGCCATTCAGTGTGACTTTATTGGACTGGTTGATTTTTTTGAGCAATCAGAAGAACCTGTGTGCCCCTGTAATAAGAGGGCTGACAGTTCTTTCCTGACACATTGACACCACAAACCCAGTAGTGGTGAGAAATTCTGTGCCAGTAGAATCTATTGTATGCAATTGATTTTTTTGCGTGATGCCTCAGCAAATTGCATAAGAGATAATGCTGGTCACCAGCACTCAGTTAATGATGCTAATAAACAGTCAGGGGGGGGGGCAGTTGTGGATATAGTCATTGTTAAGCACAGACCTGTAGTTATTGTTCTGTTGGGAGACCTCCCCACTGTGACCTTGTGTTAAAGCGATACAGAAAGGAATACAGATTGTGGAAATGTTTGATAATTCAAGTTTTGTCATATTAAGATTTCTTGGGCTATTAAAAGGATGTTTGATTTTAGTTGTTAACAATATACAATTAATAAGCAATACGCATTCTCTTCATGAATGCACATAACTGGTACACAAGTACGCATTCACCTTTAAAAGCAATACTTCCAGCAAGTTATTGCTTATATGATAAGACACTGTTGTGGATTTTATCTTGGGCTGCAACAATTCTTCAAGTAACTCGAATAACTCTATTTCAAAAATTCCTCGATGCAAACTCCTTGCTTCGATGCTTCATTTAATCCACACAACTATGTACTGCTCAGCCTATAATCATGCATGTGTCACTAATGCTAATGTGAAACAGCTGGATGAGTCTTTCAGTCAAGGAAACAAACCAGTCAAAGCACAAGAAGAGCTGAACTATTTAGCCGAGCACAGGAGCCTTTCAGTTTGAAAGTAGTTTGTAAAACCCGAAGTAGCTCAAAGTGTCCTCTCGACATGGATTATCTGGTCATCCTACGCAGGGGAACGTTACGTATTAAGTTGTCCTGTTATCAACGGATCAACTAAACTGCACTGCTACCATGTTAATATACCTGATTAAAATATCAGTTTACAACTCACCTCGGGTCACATGGTTCAGTGTGAACTTACTACCAACTTTATGGCAAAATAGCTTAAATTATTCTATAGTAATAGAATTATTGTTTGCCAAAAAAAAAAATTCATCGCCCTCATGTTTAATTACTTAGAATACCATTGAAATAAAATAAACCTTCTGTTTATCCATATTGACCTCTATTTTACCCTTATTACCCCACCCTCACTCTGCCCCTAAAGTGCAAGGTGTGAATGGAATGTTTGGGGCAATGTCTGCCCATTTTGCGCAGTATAGCTTATTTTATGGATAAAGAACGACAATGGATTTTGATCACTGGACACTTTTGAGAGGTGGTAAATAAATCGGAAGATATTTTTGTCTGGCAGTCTTTATGAAACATTATACAGTACTATTATCTGTTCATAATTTCAATTGGAAATGGTTCAAAATATATTTCTATGGTAATTTTTCAAACAATTGTTTCCCTTTTAAAATTAAGGAATTAAGCTTTACCATGCTGCATGCGAAAACAGCAACTTCCAGCTTGCCGGAGGACCTGTGCATGAGATGTAAAAAGTTACATTTGTTTACAAACTGTTCTCAGTGTTTGGGGAAGGCGCATTCAGGAAAAGTCTGCTCAGGTACAGCCATTTGTGGCTTGATTTTTAATGTAGTCTGTACATTATGGGTCACTAAATATCCGAGGTATGAAAGTGTTTCCTGAAAGTCCCATGTACACAAGTATGTACAAAACAAATATGTATATAAATGCACTAAAAGGGTTTCGTTGTCTTGGCAGATTAACCATTAAAATGTTTCTTAAAAGGAAACCAATGAGTTGTTCATTTTAAGAGATGTCTTTTTTCTTTTTTGAGGAGTTACTATTGCTCTTTAATAAGACAAAAGTACTCCTCATTCGATTACTCGATTAATCAATGGAATAATCGATAGAATACTCAATTACTAAAACAATCGATAGCTGCTGCCCTAATTTTAACCTTAATATGCTAATTTCTACAAAATTCGTTGTATAAAGGTTAAAATGCACGGTAATTTCTTGTCTTAGCAGCACGATTGCACATAAAATGCGTACACATTTGCACTGTTAGAACAATCGATTGCCATACATATCGCTTTTAAAGATTAATGCGTACTTGCATACCAGTTATGTGCATCCGAACAGCATTGTATGTGGAGCCCATATGTATCAGAAGTGGTTAATTGGAAGAAATCTTTTGCTATGGATTGTGTGCTTCAAAAAAAAAAAAAGCTTTGGCCAATTTCTGGTTTTTCTTGGATGTGTTTCAACTGTATTTCATAGGAAATTTAGACCACTCAAGAGAACCATGCAGAGCTGGCATTGTTTATTGGCTGAAAAATGTCTATGGCTTAGACGCCCAGAGAGGCCGCCGGAGGGCAGGGAGAGGACTATTTACGTCTCTTATGAAATCTCCTACTGCTCGTTATGTTAGATTGCTCTCACTGTTTCTTTTCCTTTGTTAGAGGTATATGTAGCGTAGCAGAATCAGGAGCGTAGCGGTGTGACTGAGGTTTAATTACTTCCTGGGAGCAGTGGTGGCAGTAGATATATGCGCTTATGTTTGTATGTGTGTGTCACGGGAAGATAACACACAGAACATTGTGGAGTTGGCAGAAGACCTGAGAAAGGATCATTAGGAAAGGCATGGTGTTTATATCTCCCCAATTAAATCAACATATTGCACAGACTGAGTTTTGGCTCCATGAAGTATTGATTTGTATGGCTGTGTTAATTGTGCACTTTCTCTTTCATGCACCAGTGAGTGTACCGTGGAAACGTAACGTACCGTAATTTGCACCACGCATGTCAGTTCAGGGGGCAGTTCAGAGGTGTTCCAGACCCTGAGCGCAAACTGGGGTGATGTGCTTGCGATTAGAAGGTCAGCAGTTCATATCACTTGTGACCGGCCAAGTGAATTCGCTGTTGAGCCCATAATCAAACCCCAGCTGCTTCAGAGACACTGGCTGATGCTGCTCTCCTAGTCCTCAATTATGTTGCTTTGAACAAAAGCATCCAATAAATAAATGCAAGGTAAACACAACAGAAAGTGGGGCATTTTGCACCTTTCCTGATTGTTGATGGGTGTCAGGGCACGAATATTTTTCCAAAGCAGTGGCCTCATCATGTCCTTCCATTCGTCCACCTATCTTCTAATTGTTTAAGGTCATAGTGTTGTACTGTCTGATGTTCAGAAACAAAACAGACCTATTACTGGAGTTCAAGCCCACTGCAGTGTTTCTGTAGCAGGAACTACAGGGTGTGCTTCCAGGTGTCGCGTGACCTCTGTGGGATCTTCTGAATATAGACGAGGAGCCATGAGTCTTATGGATGGGCTAACTGTAGAGTAGCCTTATTGCAACCCTAAAGAAGATGTGTGAGAGGCAGTTATATGATGATTATTCTCCACCCCCAACACTTTTGTTTCCTGAGAGGAATGTTGGTGAGTGAGGGCAGACTTGAGTTGCTTTGCTAATGAAGGTACTATTTCACAAGGAATTTACAGTCGGCAGCTGTTCACTGCCGTCTTCTACGTCTGGGCGCAGTAATGGCCGCAGTAGTACAGCCAGAACACTCAATGCTGAATGCATTTACACCACCGTACCTTGCCTGGGGTTGATCTGCATCACATGCTTCTGAAAACTGATTTTGTGAAGTTACCACTCAGCAGTATAAAAAAAAACTTCCAGAAGAGTTCAGAGTCATGGATCCTATCCCAGGCATCGTAGGCCACAGGGCACCATCTCATGGTTTGCTCATATACTTTCAGAAATTTAGAAATTCATCTAACTGTATGTCCTTGGACTCTTTTTGGACACCTGTGTAGTATCGGGAAAACACGGACACACACAGCAGTGACTGTCGGTGTTAGCCAACATGCCACCTTCGCAGAAAAACAGGACTTTGTGAATCTTCTGCATTTTGTGAGACCTATGGCATACTGCATTTACACTAGTGGCCAAAATTGTGGAAACACCTAGTGTTTTTGGCTTTATGCTTTAAAAATTACTAGATGGTATTGATGGAAATGTTTATAAACAATCACAGAAGAAGCACATATCATACTCTGAAAGATTAAATAAGTAACTGGAGTAAGTGGAATAAAAGTTCTGCAATCTTTAAAAACTGGAAGCGTTTCCACAATTTTGGCCACTAGTGCATGACCTTGTTTGGCTGATGACAGTGTTGGTTTCTTACTGTTGTCTCCAGAGTTTGGCTGGTGGGAAATTGACCCTGAAACACCAGCTGCTGCAGGTCGTCCTCCGCGTGCTGAAGTACCGCATGATTCTCACAGGTACGTCCAGCTGGCTCCTGAACTCCATCCAGCTCCCAAGGATGGATGGTGCCGTAATATATGGGACACCCTGTTATAGTGTTCAAATGTGCTTAATTTTGCACAAGATTTGAATTATTAGATTATTTATGTCCATTTTCGTCTTCTAACAGATTACCTAAACAACCTCTCACCAGACTCCAAAGAATATGAAGACACACAAGGTAGTTCTTCTTTGATGCATCCATTTTCTGTAACCACAAGTCATATTCAGAGTCACAGGGGGTGCAGAGCCGAATCCAGAAGCTACAGACATGAAGGAGCGAACATCCCAGGATGAGGCACCAACCCATCTAGGGTTCACTCACACATATCTGCAGGCAATTAGCTCCAATTAACCTGAGCATGTTTCTTGACTGTGGGTTGAAACTGGAGTACCCAGAGGAAAGCCCACGACGACAGAGAGAAGGTGCAAGTTCCAGATACATGGAACCCTGACAGAGACTTGAACCCTAGTCTCAGAAGTGTGAGGCAACATTGCTAAACAACACTGTGCTGCCCCTACTTCTATACACAGCTGTAAAAAAGTTCTGGCCCGTTCATAAAGCACTGAGGGGTCTGTATCTGCAAAGTGTCTGGCCATTGCCCCACTGCGGCTCCCTAAAGGAAACGATACCGGGTTTTAGAGTAGACCTCTTTGTGTGCAGAGTGATTCATTTATCACAAGACAGATGTGATATTTACAGGCTGGGGTATCTGCTGTCCTGTGCACCGGGGGTATAAATCATGGACTTAATGACAATGTGGCGCTATGTGGATACACAAGCGGCAATGTCATACATCAGCTGTACCTCGAAATGTAACACAATTCCGTGTGACACTATATGAAGTGATTCAGTGGCGTTACTCAAAGCTTATGACTCTCTGTGTAAGTATTCTGTCTCCGGGGTGGTGTGTAGCTCTGTGGGTTAAGACTCCGGACCTGTGATTGGTTCAGCTCCCATGGTCTGGCAGAGTGATGTCACTGTTAGGCCCTTAATCAAGACCCTCGATGCCAATTTCTCCAGGAACTAGCTGACCCTGTCCCTCGATTTGTATGCTGCTTTGAATTAAATGCATCTATTAAATAAATGAATGTGAATATATGGTGAGGCAGAGCTTTCTGTGTGATGGTACATCTTTCTGGGCCTCTACGTTCCCCCGTCTCCCTAAGTGGAGTGATCGTCAGTTTACAGGCCTCGGGCTGCACATTTGCACCTCTTATGCTTCCCATTATTAATGCTGCCAAAATGAGCACAGTGATGCCTCTTCTTCCTGTTTGCATCGCCAGCTGTACTCTCAATTGTCTCCGAAGCTGCCGACCGAGCGAACGACGGCCTGAAGCACGGGGTGAGCATCCTCAGCCTCCCAAAAGTGCATTTATGTGTTCTTCAGCTCCCATTTTCTGTCTCTGGTTTGTCGGGTGGAACATTCCATCGTTCAACTGGCACACATTGTATGAATTCACCAAATCCCCCCTGATGTTAGTAAAGTCTCAGCAATGGCAGTGTGGCAACTATAATGTTTTTTTATGCTTGAAATACAAAGGTAATAAGGAACAGAGGGCTGATAAACAAGAGATACAAGGGTTCTCAGTGTTACCCGTTAGTCACAGTTATCCCTCTGTATCCCTTAAGCAAGTTTCTGCTTTACATTTTCATTGGTCTCACAACAACAATCCAACCAAAACTAGAGATTATTCATGTTCCAGGGATCAGGAAAGTGCAACATTCTGAAGTCAGTTTCTTTACTACTGCAGCAGGGCAGGACGTATTTATAATCACAGTCGGTACGTTTCTTTGTCTTTCTCACGTTCCCTGCTTCCATCACACTGACCTCAAAGTGACTCTGTTCCAGGACCTGATAGAAATTACATGCATGCAGAATTTTGCAGTACACAGCCACCTGGTCACCCTGGCTGTTTGTCCAAGTTGACCACTGGTGGCCAGACCATACAGGGGTCAATAGGTGTAGGAAGTTACTCACCCAGTTGCCCCTGACCCTCCCAGTCTCTCTAGCGATCACCCTTGCCAGTTAAGACAAAAGGGTCCACTATCTCGTTCTCCCTCTAATTAAATTCCCAGAAACTCTTCCCCTTCCTCCTTCCCCATGCTCTTCGCCCACAGAAACGTCATCCCTCCTGTCTGTCTTCCGTACAGGAGAACTTGCTGCGCCTGGTCCACATCGAGCACAGCGTCACAAGCCAGAGAGACCTGCTCCAGCCAGGAAGGGTGAGCTTTCTTCATGTTGATAAGGACTTTGTTTTTCAGGCTGTAAACACCGCAGTACCTTCTATGTCTCATATAACGAGTACTAGTACAGCCCCCCCAGGACCCAGAATAGGACAGCGGTTACAGAAGATGGATGGGTGGATGGATGGATAGTCCAGTCCCCAGACCCTATCCTATGTGGAGGAGGCTGATTTGTCTCATTTTCCTTTAAAAATGTGAGGATGATGGGGGACAGATCCCCAGGCTATTATTCACCAGCATGCCTGTTAGTGTGGCAGCTACTGCAACGCAGAGTCACTGCTAAGGGGTGTTCATGTCGTCAGAAAGTAACTATCATACTAACTGTCAAAACCAATGTGCTACAGTAGTTGAATGCAAGCTCACTCACCTTCAGACACCATACATTTAAAATAAACCTTGACTTCCATTTCAGTATGATAGGTAACGGGGAACAGACACGTGCAGCTCTGGAAAAAATTAAGGGACCACAGCACAATTATTTGTTTCACTCATTTCTGAATTTATGGGTGAAAAATATATTTTTTCTTGCGAACTGCAGCCTGGTTCTTCCCTGTTTCTCATTAAAGAAGGGCTTCTTCCTTGCTTTATGGGACTTCAGTCCTAATTCCAGGAAACTGATAAGTATCTCCAGTATCTCCTGCTTCACCTTATTTTTGTGTGCTGCTGTCTTAGAAATTTTGTGCCTGGAAGCAGCCTATCATGTAGCCTTCTGCCAGCAGAACCAGGATTAAACTGTGATTTAAAAATGCAGATTTTAAAGAAATAATACAAAGTGGTCTCTTAATTTTTTTCCAGAGCTGTATTTAAGATAATAGCTGGTAAGTGAATGCTGACAGAGACTCGAAAAGACAGCCAGGTCACTGACACATTCTCCAGACTGCCAGTCATTTAGTGCTCAGGTGAGAAATCCAGAGAGGACCAAGGAGCAGAAATAGGAGGGACTGAGACTGTGAACTGTGAGCTTTCAATAACATTCTTAGATGGACATTGTATTTTACTGTGTAGTTTTGTCATTACAATAACTGAATTACCGAAACAGCTTTACTCTAAACTGCATCCTTCTCATTTTGTCTTTAGTTGTTGCAGATTATTCTCTTCATTAAGTGGTAGCAATATAAAAGTGTTGCTGTTTATTAATTAAGACATATACCAGCAGTGATGAAGGGGTACTTTGCTTAAATGAAATTAAATGTTAGACGTGAAGTTGACCCATCTCACACTATGTTCCTTGCTGTCTTAATTTAAATGCTGGAGTTTGATATTATTTTTTTCTATAGCATCTTCACTGGATTACTGTCTTCTTCCATCTTTCATTATGTCTTTGTATTGCTCAGTTGTGTTATTTCTTTTGTATTATCTCTGTCTGTCATTGTTGGCATTGTGATGTTGACTGTCTGTGCCACAGGTGTTTGTGAAGGAAGGCACTCTGATGAAAGTTTCTAGAAAAAGCAGACAACCCCGACATTTATTTCTGGTAGGTTGACAGCACATAATAAAGTCACTTTCTTTAGAACTGTTCTTTATTGTCATTAAACATGTTGTTTAGCTTAGGTATAAGCCAATTCCTTCTTTGTTTCTAAGACAGTAAAAAGGCATTCTTGCATTCCAGAACTTTCATTTATGTGGGTGTTGCCAAATAACAGTATTTCCAAGTTCTCTACTGCTTTTGTGTAACAGGATTCCAATTGTTCTGCCTCGGTGACTGATGATGTAATAATGGTAGTTGATGTAAGAGTGTTGGTGTGTTTTTCCCCGAGGAGTCTAACAGTATTTATGTAATGTTCCACTCAGTGTTCAGTGAGTGCTAAATTACATGCAGATGTTGGCTGATGGGTAACACAGTGGTGAACTCTCAAAGTTATTTGCTTGCCACCAACTTTCAGCGACAGCAGTGTGTCTTTTAGCTCTTTGCGTCAAGATGCCGCGTCTTCAAGACTAATGATGCTTGTGTATTAAGTGCAGGGGAAAAAGCTAGAATGAAATCCACAAGACTTGTCCTACCGGGAACTGACATCGTGATGTGCTTGTTAACTTTATCATACCCTGTGTCTTGAGTTTCGTTGCACTAAAGATGACCAGTAGGCTGCATGTAGGTCACTGTCACAGCCACTCCCGACACACCCCACCCTAGAAGCCAGCCCAAGGACCCTCAGTGCAGCTGTAAGGGGGGGGGGCGATGCATAGCGGCCTGTAAATGGTAGCAAAGACACCAGGCTGCCCCCCACCCCATTCCAGGGCTTCTGCGGCCAGCCCTGTTATTGAAAGCGCTGTTTCCTTACGGGATGTTTGGAGTGGTTTACTGATACCAGTATCCTGTCCAGGTACAGCGTCGACAAGACTGCGAAGGCTAGGCTGTTCATTTGAGATTAAGCAGAGTATTCATTCAAGAACCAGTAGGCAGACATTTGTCTCATGGAATCAGAAGACAGTTTGCAAATGTTAATGATGATGATGCCATGGCTTCCAAACCACTAGAATTGAGTAGAGCATTACTTTAGATTAATTAACTCGTGTCTGTAACATCAGTGAAAGAGCTGCATTTTTCTGCTTAAATCAAACCATGAATATTTTTTAGTATATTATGGAGTATATCATTTCTGCATAGCACAGACCTTCTATAGTACGGCTGCATTCACATAGAGTATTGCAAAAGTCTGACATTGTCATCTGCTCAGTTGTCCTTTATACATGTATTTTGTCACCCCTGTCATCTGTAATACGGCAGAGGCAGTGCCAGGGCAGTTATACCGCGTGAAGACAAAGCTGTTCGTGGGCGTCTTGTTTCTAATGGCAACAAATGAAGGTTGATAGATGCACTGAGTATAGTGTGTATGACTGAAACCATAATGATGTCTTGAGGGCTAGGGGCCAAGGTGAAAAGCGGGGTACCTCTACTGGATTAATGGTTTATGGGTAGAGGGAAATTTATGAGGCAATAAGTATATTGAGTCAAGAAAAGTCACAATTTAACCAGACATTTTGACAGCCCCCCCCCCCCCCCCATTTATAACTCTGCAAAGTGATACATCACCTTGGGAGAGTGATACTTTGAGGGAGGCAAGTTAGGGAGTTAAAAAAACAGGAGTGAATGAGAAGCACGACGCTGTGACAGATTGCACCTCCTGCCCTCGAAGGGGGCATCTCCTCCTTTGCTTTGTGCTCCCCTGGTCGTCCCAGAACCGCTCAGAGCAGCAGAAGAGCCTAGATACAAGGCGCTGTTACATTCATACAGAGCGCTCTTACCACATAAAATAACTCCTTTTGTTCATCAGGCTTTGGAATCCAGTTTGGAATGTTATACTTGGGCCTACAAGATGTTTCCTCAAGGAGTGAGATGTTTTATATACTATGAAGATGTTTTATATACTATGAAGATGTTTTTTGCAGTCTGATTCTTTTTTTCCAGCGCCTTTCTAAGGAATATTCAAAAGTCTGCACAACTGGTCATCAAATTCTCGCAACTCAGAACTAACAAAAATCTGCCTTGTTCATGACCGTACATATATAAGGGTCTGAAACCTGTGTAGATAGTTTTTATCATTGAACAGTGATGTTAGTTATTGAAGTCTGCAGGTCCCTCTTGTGGAGGATCCTGCACATGACAGTTCTGTGGGCACAATGCCAAAGACATTCTAGTTGAAACCTCATTTGGTCCCTGTTTCACTCACGCAGATGAATGATTTGTTGCTGTACACCTTCCCGCAACAAGATGGGAAATACAGACTGAAGAACACCCTCCCACTCACTGGAATGAAGGTGACACTTTTTCGTATGAATGTAGTAACTTGATATGACATTTAGTGAGAAATGTTGGCACGACATGCTGCCGTTTCTGGTTTCAGGTGAGCAAGCCCATCCTAGAAAATGTGCAAAATGCCTTAAAGATCGAGGTGACTGACATCTCCATCACCCTGTCATCCAGGTGTGTTTCCAATGCCTTTGCCCGCCTGGTCCTAATGCCCACCGGCTTGTAACCCTTTCGCTGTGGCTTTGGGAGGACTTGAATTCTCTCTCCACTCCCGCAGCTCATGTGGCGAGCGAGACGAGTGGTTTCACGCCCTCAGTCGGACTGTGGAGAGCCATGGCCGGGGGCAGGGTGCATCTCGTAACCCCAGCAGCGAGGTGAGGAGGGCGTTGGGGCGGCTGACGCAGGTCAGACCCACTTTACAGGCGTCACATGGACACCCAACCCTGACCGTGCCCCCCCCACCCCCGCAGGCTAGAGAGAAGGTCCGGATGTCACTGGGAGAGACGGCGCCCACCCTGGTCCCGGTGTCCCACGTCATGATGTGCATGAACTGCGCCTCTGACTTCTCTCTCATGTTACGTCGGCACCATTGCCATGCCTGCGGGAAGGTGAGCAGAGAAGCAGCGTCGCATTAACCGCGGGGCTGCAAAAATCGCATGATTCACGTAGTGGAACTCCTAGCCTCTCTCACTAGTTCGTGTGCCCCCCCCCCGGCGACAGATCATCTGCCGGGGCTGTTCCAGGAACAAATACCCACTCAAGTACCTCAAAGACAGGATGGCTAAAGTATGCGATCGCTGCTACGCTGAGCTGAAGAAACAAGGTAGCCTGTCGTGCCGACACCAACACTCAACACCCTATGCGGGCGACAGTGCAAGTCATGGAGACACCTGGTTACATTCGGGCACCCTAAGTCTCCCGCTGTCCATAGGGGGCGCCGTGGATGATGTCCGCGGCAGCGCGAGTCCTCGAATCAGCCGTTCCAGTCGGCCACTCTCTGCCGTCTTCCAGAACATCCACCCCCCAAACCTGTGGAGAAGCAGAAAGACAACGGCCACGTTCAACCAGGTAAACGTGCCCGTTCCGAAGCGACGCCGACAGGAAGTGACGGAGCAGAGGAGCGTATGGCCAAGCACAGGCTTCCCACAGCCTTTCCAAAATCCCAAATAAGTATCGTCCTCCCCTTGGCTGCAGGTGACTGTGGAGCCGGAGGGCTCGGCGATCCCCGGCACGACACACTGCTGCAAGAGGAGCAAGAGAAACTGGAAGAGGCTGTGGTTCCTCATCAAAGACAAGGTGCTCAACATATTCTCATGCAGTTCATCCTGCCTCCTCACAAACCAGTTTGTCTGTTTATATGCGATTTGAGCCACCATTTTGAAATCCGTACACTGTCAGTAGGGACTTTAACAGCAGTAGAGATACATAATCAGATTTGTATGCTGTACACATGTGCCTGTACGTACCCTCACTATCTGCATATACAGTAACCAGCACCATCAAAGCCAAAATCTGTGCAGTGTGGTTGTTGCTCTTCACCCTTTTAACATCTTTCTGTTATTTTGTTACAGAGCTTGTGTGGGGTATGATTAGTGTTTAAATGACTGCCCTTGACTTAGAATGTACCAAGTTTGTTTGAGACCAGGGGCGTAGTTTGAGATGGGGGGCTGATAGCAAACTATTCATGCCTTAAGCCAGTAAATACACATTTATTTGGGGGGGGGTTAAAAAAACATTTTAGGGGGGCTTTACAGACTGTTGTACAGACCAGGTCTGAGTCTGCTTTGCGGGATGTTCACCTTCGATGGCACAGGACAAGATAGCTACAGAGAGCCTCCCTTTGCTGGGCTTCACACTGAAGCTGCCAGACACGCCAGAAGCAGGAGACACATCCAGCAACATCTTCCAGCTTTACCACAAGAAGGCTCTGTACTGTACCATTACAGCGGAGGACAGCACTGTTCCCAGGTCAGTGTCAGAGGACACCGTCATTTATTCCTTGACCTTTCTCACCCTGTTGGTCTTTCAGTTGTGACGTTAACTTCTGATTAGCTCAATGGCCTTTATACCTACACATAAACAGGACCGCCACAACTGGCCTGAATGGACATTTAATGAGTAGACCAGATGGTCCACGTAACAAAACTAACTTGTTAATGTCCACTGGCCCAATAATTGTTCCACAGTTTGAGTCAGTGATTTGTAGTCACTATGGCAGCATTTCTTGAGATTTTTATAACTTTCTCAGTAATAAAGCCTAGAGCAATATGACTGTACGGATTCCAGCAGGTTTGTGTGTCTGGATAATGCACTGATGTCGCTTGTTGTGTGTTACAGATGGATTAACGCCATTGAAGAGGCCACAGTTTTATAGCAGCCATCCAAACGCTCAGTGACCCTCATCTAAGATGTGTCCTCCAATTTTGGCCAAGTCCTTAATTTCTGCTCCTCGGAATGTAAAAATGTGAATGCATACAGGAGACTTTTGATTTCCATGAACTGACTGGTGTAATTGATATTTTGTACAGAAACCAAACACAATTGTTTTCATGCATGTTTAGCGTGTGGTGTTGAGGACTAACTTCCATAAGAACTGTCCTTAGTTTTGCCTGCTTTTTCTATAAGTCCTAAATGGAGTTTTAATATTATCCACAGGTCATTTCAGTGCACATCATCTTTCCTGATCAAGTCCATAATGAATAGTATAGTAGAACATAATATCACATTATCTTCCTTTTTGATGCTGCTAGTTATTCACGTGTTCAAGTTTTAAAAGGTCATTTTCGGTTGCCTTGCCTAGAAACCAACAAATTTACATTTCAGTATCTAAATGAAGATTATGGTGGCAGAAGCAGGAGCGAAGCCCCAACATTCTCTTATAACATCTTCTGTTAATCTAATGTTTACATTTTTCTGCCAGGCTTGATTACACATACTTTCAGTGGCCACTATATTAGGTACACATAGCTAGTACTAGGCAGGACCTACATTTGCCAGAAGAACTATTTCATAGGTAGATGAGTTGTGAAAGGAGAGAAGCCATTCTACATACCAGTGCTGCTCTGAACTGTCATATTCCTCTTACCTTATTAGCTTTAATGAGTCTGCCCATTATCCTCTGACTCTTATCATTAACAAGGCTTTTCCCATTGACTGGATGGTTTGTCCATCACTCCATTCTCGAAAAAAACTCCAGACACCGTAGTGGAAAAAATGCCAGGAGAACGCCTGTTTCTGATGCTGGAAGCAGCACATCTGACACCTCCAATCAAGCCTTGTCCAAAATCACTTAGATAATTCTTAGTTAGATCAGAACCTCAACCTCGTGACCCCGTTTGCATATCGCATATATTTGCTGCTTGCATTAACAATCAGGTGTACCTAACAAACTGGCTGCTGAGTGTGTCACACTCATGTGCATCTGCATTCCCCAAAATTCAAGGTCAGCCCAATGACAACACGCATGCTTTTCTCCCATACGTGACCTATCCTCCAAGGCATGCCTTGGTAAATTCATTTCTCTTTAAATACTAAGAGCCAGCACAGTTTAGGGGCCAGTTTTGACATATTCCTTACTACATGCAACCCACAACCAGCAAACCCGTACAGATACAGACATAATGCTTAAGCATGAGGCTAGTCAGGCTAACCTAGTTAGCTTATACATTCCTTAGCCTTTGACCTTGTCAATACTGCTGTTCAACTATGTATGTCCCTGTCATGGTTGGTGTTTTCAATGTCCCATAAAACTCTGTATGGATGAGGCTCTTCCTCTCTGACTTTTCTCTTGGTTTCACTTTTTGCAGCCTAAGCACATTATTTTCTGAGGTCTCTGCTGTATTTTCCTTGTGCCCACATCACCAAGCAGCTGTTTTATTTTTAGCCCGAGACTCCATTTATCGAGCACCTCCGTGTAGTTTTCTGTCACCTATATGCGTCATTGGAAGTCTGTCGGGGTACAAATGTCCACAGTTTTAAGCACTACAGCCCGGATGGAATTCACCATTTTTTGCCCAGTGCTGATTTTATGGATTTTTGCGAATGCCTTTGTGAACATGTCGCATGTGCTGTAAGAAGAAAAACTCAAAAAACTCAAAGTCAGCACAAAAAAGTTATGCATGCGCTTGACCATCTGGAGATGCTTCTAGAAAACATTCTGCACGATCACTAGTCACCTGCACAATGGCTGAGAGCATTTTATCTAGGGGTTTTCAAGGAAGTGTCTGCCTTGTTTCCTTAGCCAACACCCAACAAGAACAAAATATTTGCTGACCAGATTCAACTCCAAGGGTCAAATGCACATCAAAACCATTTTGCTCAAAGATAATATAAAATATCAGTGTTTACATCCTGTCCATGCTGTATCCAGCCTCATGTCAGGCCATATGGTTAGACTGTGTGCCAGGACAAGCAATTAGAAGATGGATGGATGGATTGATTAATAGTACTTATATCATTCTGGCTCTTCTAGGATTGTCTTTTATTTATGGTTTAAGAATTTTTTTTCCTTTAAACACTTAAAAATTCACGTTTTGAATGGCTATGTCCAAAGGTTTTAGTAAATTAATGGTTACTGCAGTTTTTAATTCAGTTTTAAGAGGTGATATTAATAAATCAGTTGTGGAATATTAGTAAGTAACTTTGTGAGGAACAGTAACTTTTCAGACAAATTGTAATTCTTTAACCTGAAACTGGCCTTGACACGGGGGTGGGGTTTGTGTATATTAAACTACAACATGACAGGTATATTCCCCTAGGCACGAGTATCTGAATGGATCTTTCCATTAGAGAACTCATTTCACTGGATCTGGTTTAAAAATCTTTCCCCCCATCTTATGTACTGTATTTTTGAAATGGCCTTGCAATATAATAAATGTAAATATATACATATTAAAAAATAAGCATTTTTATGTTATTTGCATCTAGAATAAAAAGGGATGTAATTATTCCTTCCTCCAGCGTTATTTTGTTATGTCATTATTATTTTACTTTGCCCTAAGCCGAAATAAAGTTTGGTGGTGGAATGTGTCCTCTTTGATAGTGATTACTGTAGCATAGCCTGCTTGTGTAATGAATCCTTAAATAATGTAGATATATGTATATATAAAACACTTAGTGCTTAGTAAAGTTAGGTCTGATTCCAAAGGACAAGCGCCCTAAATAAAACGTGAATTTTAAATAAAATGCAAGATTTATAAAAAATGAAAATAATCCTTAAATAGCTGCCCTGCGTGCAAATTGGTTGTATTCAAGTTCTGGACACTGTCTGTTGTAATACATGTCATGTCCGCTAGGTGGCAGCATCCGCAAAGTGAAACCGAGCAATGTGTAACGGCAGATTGACCAATAGTTAGTCTGGCAGTATAATAATAATATAAAAGACGATTATAGTTTTAACATTCTATAAACCGCTCTTTAATTTGATATATTTACATGTTTTAAATGAATAATAGTGATGCAAAATATTTTTTTCTATTTGTAAGCTACCTGCCGTTATTGGTAGGTGGCTAACGTCACTTAACGATTTGCGTGCATATGCATTTTTAGAGACGGAAATATTTTTCCCATTTAATTTTTATCACTGTATTATTAATGACCGCGACATAAATAGGACACGACAGGCAGCTTCCAGGAAATTTCCAATGAAAAGGCTCGTTGGAGGTTTGGGGTCGTTGTGTATACACCAGCATTTTTATCCAGGACAGCAGGGGGAGGGAAACAGACATAGAAAAGGTCAGGGCTACGCTGTTTCTTGGGCTCCCTGGTGTTCAACTGACCCAGAATTGTCGGAAAGAGAGGTAAATTAGGAAAAGTTTTTTTTCTTTCTTTCTGAAGGACTTGAAAGTTATGGGCATCTTGTTCCATTTTTAACATAGGACAATTTATTGTTCAACCCCTTGTTGTGCGTGCATGCGCGCGCACATACGCCCTAACAGTTCGTTTAGGAGGACAGGATTTATAATATACTGTCAGTTCTGAAATACCGTACAATTAAATTAATGATTACGATGATCTCATTTTAAATATGTGCTTAATTATTTCTTTAAGGCTACTTGTATGTCGTTACTTATATCTAGTTCAAGGAATCGCCCATTTCCACCTTAAATTTATAATTGTTATTGAAATTCATTAAATTTTTGTATTATCCCATGAATAGCACATAGTAACAGGTCCGAGATGCTCACAGTATGGGAAACGACAGGGAAAAACTAATTTTCAAATTGGTTAAAAAACAAAAACATTGATCAAACAGCCAAACCAGATGGGAAATAATGATGCTAGAAATTATTTTTTGTCATTTTATATGTAATGTAAAAATATATGTGCGATTTCATGTATAAATACTTGAACAGCTAATTTGACAACTCGATGAATTATCCAGAAAGAAGGCTCGTCTCTTCATCAACAACTTTTCCAGTAGTCGTTGGTCTGTCTTTGTAATGATCGATCACAGAAGATCCAAGTGCAGTATATCAGGATGTTTAGTTCGGAAGCTCAAATCGACGTCAGAGACAGGCAGGGCCAAAACCGGTGAGTCAGAGAAGCAAACCAATCTGAAGACGTAATCCAAAGGGGAGAATGCAGGTACGCGAATGGATCGGTAACAAGGCAACCAAATCCAGGACACAGGCAGGAATCGGAAGCCCAAAAACCAGAAACACAGACCATACACGGAAAGGCTCTGTAGGTCAGCGCTGGGCTTAAATCAGGTAACTAATCACCGAAGATGCGATGCAGCTGTTCAGACCTCCGCTGATGACGACGGCTGGAGGCGTGGCGGTCACGTGAAGGTGGGCGTGGGCGGGGCTGATCAGACAGTCTGTCATTTTTCAGTTTCATTTAACAAGCTGAGCACAAAAGCTGGAATGAACTATCTACCTTTTGCTTTGTCTTTGCGATGCATACTTATATTAAGGATAAGATATTAGTAATTGTGCAATATTCAGATATTTAGAGGTCCAAGAATCAATCTGTCACAGCCATGGAACTCATATTAAAAGTTCATTGCCTGACTTTCATTGAATATTGAATCTCATGGAACATTACATCACAGAAAAATTACCAGATATCTTGGTAATAATACCCTGATAATGACTGATAATCGTTACAGAAGCCAAGTTTGCTAATCAGCGTAACTTTTCAAACTGCCTTAGGCATCCATTCATTTATGACACAAGGTGGTCAGAAAGTGAACAAAGTGTCATTCAGGTTCAGTGTCATGGGCAAGAGCATAATGAGCCATTGTGCCCCCCCCAATGCCACTCACCAAGGTCGTTGTCTTATAGTTGATGTGTTTTACTTAAATTTTTAAATTTTCCTTTGTAGTAGCCCATTCTCTCCCAGGGCCATGGCTACAGATCTTCTGTATACCCCCCCCACCACCACCACCACACACACACACACACACAGCCATATATACTGCAAACAGTAAACCAAAAGCAGTAAGATTAACTACTGATTTTCTGTTGGACTTATGTTAGGAGCCAAGGTCCACGCTTTTGTGATTCTAACAATCAAAAGACAAATGAGAACATCAAAGCTTCCGGCTAAAGGGACCAGGATCCACTCTGCTTTCATTCCGAATGACTCTCAGTGGAAGTAGCATCTGCTCATGAGAGGCGCACCCACCCAGCTGGTTTCATAGCGATGTGTCAACAGGCTTAAGGGCTCTGTGCACAAACAAGCACCTGTATTACTGGAAGTATCGAGGTTATGTTTATGCGTCATTGAAAGGCTGACCTGGATAAGCATAGAAAAAGCATGCATGATATGCTCATTTAGTTTAATTACAAAATAGTACTAAATACGAATTACTAGATACTAAAATGAACTCATTTTCTTGGAATGAATTAGCAAACCTGGTAATGTAGACCACGTCTGACCATAACATAGGCCTGCATGCATACATACATACATACATACAAACTGAATGTCAGAATGGGAAAGAAAGGTGATTTAAGCAATTTTGAGCGTGGCATGGTTGTTGGTGCCAGACGGGCCGGTCTGAGTATTTCACAATCTGCTCAGTTACTGGGATTTTCACGCACAACCATTTCTAGGGTTTACAAAGAATGGTGTGCAAAGGGAAAAACATCCAGTATGCGGCAGTCCTGTGGGCGAAAATGCCTTGTTGATGCTAGAGGTCAGAGGAGAATGGGCCGACTGATTCAAGCTGATAGAAGAGCAACTTTGACTGAAATAACCACTCGTTACAACCGAGGTATGCAGCAAAGCATTTGTGAAGCCACAACACGCACAACCTTGAGGCGGATGGGCTACAACAGCAGAAGACCCCACCGGGTACCACTCATCTCCACTACAAATAGGAAAAAGAGGCTACAATTTGCACGAGCTCACCAAAATTGGACAGTTGAAGACTGGAAAAATGTTGCCTGGTCTGATGAGTCTCGATTTCTGTTGAGACATTCAAATGGTAGAGTCAGAATTCGGCGTAAACAGAATGAGAACATGGATCCATCATGCCTTGTTACCACTGTGCAGGCTGGTGGTGGTGGTGTAATGGTGTGGGGGATGTTTTCTTGGCACACTTTAGGCCCCTTAGTGCCAATTGGGCATCGTTTAAATGCCACGGCCTACCTGAGCATTGTTTCTGACCATGTCCATCCCTTTATGACCACCATGTACCCATCCTCTGATGGCTACTTCCAGCAGGATAATGCACCATGTCACAAAGCTCGAATAATTTCAAATTGGTTTCTTGAACATGACAATGAGTTCACTGTACTAAAATGGTCCCCACAGTCACCAGATCTCAACCCAATAGAGCATCTTTGGGATGTGGTGGAACGGGAGCTTCGTGCCCTGGATGTGCATCCCACAAATCTCCATCAACTGCAAGATGCTATCCTATCAATATGGGCCAACATTTCTATAGAATGCTTTCAGCACCTTGTTGAATCAATGCCACGTAGAAGTAAGGCAGTTCTGAAGGCAAAAGGGGGTCAAACACCGTATTAGTATGGTGTTCCTAATAATCCTTTAGGTGAGTGTATACATACACACTTCATACATACTGTACATGCATACATACATACATACTTCATACATACATATACATACATACAGTTCAGGGTACTGTTTCTCGCCTAAGCACAACCCTAACAGATTGGAAGTAAGTGCTGCCACTCGGCTATTGAGGATGGGGGAGGGTGTGGATGTTTCAGGGGAGGAGTGAAGTCAGTAGGCCAACCCCTTCTATACACCTGTAACCAATGGCTTTGAGTATAAAGGGAGTTTGCGGTGTGTCCGGGGGGGGAGGGGGTGCATGGCCAGGCTCTCGTGACTTGACGAGTCCGTTTGTAGGAGTCAGGGAGCAAAACCTCTGTTGTGTGCATGGTTCAGGTCGCCTTCCTGGAAAATCTGCTGGGCGCCAGTAAAAATCTCTCTGGTTCACCCTCCACTGGCCGTGACCTGTGGGTCTGCTCACGTCCGAAGAGCCAGGTTTCCCAACAAAGTCTCCTATTGCACATTTGTGACCAAACACATTATACCACAGGTGTGTGTGTGTCTTTTTCAGTGTGTTTCAGTGTGTATTGTTGCAATTCTGCCTAACGCAAGGATAGCATGACACAACACATGCAAAAACCCCTATCATTACCAAACATGACATACTGTATCTACAATGAATTAACTGTATGAATAATTCAGTTTTCTCGTAACAATTCCTTTCTTGTTGTACATTGAGCTGTTCTGCACATAGCCTCCAGGCTGTAGGTTTGGTTTCAACATCAGTAGGGACCAAATCGCCCCAAACCCCCCACCCCCCCCCTAAAACACAGGGTACTCCTACGTCCCAACCATCCTTACCCACATCTGCACACTTAATATTCCCCACTCTGTTGGCCCATCAGTAACTTGGTAAGGATCATAATCTTAACCCTATTAAAAAATAAAACATAACAATAAAGTAGAAGAGCAACACTAC